CTCAGGTGGCCAGGTTCGTTGCACACTGTAGCGCTAACTGCTACACTACCGCTCCCCATACACACAGAAACACAGACACACGCACGCACAGGCACAACAACAGCAACAACAACCGCCATTCGCCACTAAGTGGCGGTGACGTCACCACGACGCTTATGCCAGGCCATGTGCACCTTGAGGCCACGTGAAGTGTCGAACGCCCGCGGGCAGGAGGTCACGGGGCAGACCCAGGTGCCACGGGTCGACTGACTGAGATGACTGGCTGGTGCACCACCTGTGCCCCCTACAGGGGGTCCACGTTTCGCAAGCGTAGAGAAGGGAGGGAATGACCGCGGCCGAGAAGACCTGAAGCTTAGTGCGGAGCGACAGACCAGGTAGCTTCCACACAGCGTACGCAACCGATGAAAAGACATTACCGCTCGACTGATTCGGAGCGAGACCTCAGCTGTTAAACTGGAGCCGGTCACAAGCACACTGCCCAGGCATGGGAAACTCTCCACTCTCTCCACAACTGCCCCATCACCGACTGGGAGCCGTGGGGGTGGGGTGTCCGATGGCACAGGTGCTTAGTTTTGGTGGGGCTGATGGTAAGGCCCCATCTCTTAGTGGCACGCTCCAGTCCCAGCAGCAGCGTCTCCAACTCCTCTGAATGAGCAGCTATTACCAAATCATCGGCATACATAACGTGGTTGAGCAATAGGGAGCCATCCCTTGACCGCACCCGGGCATCGATCAGCCTCCCATTATATCTGTACCATATGGAGATTCCCCCGGTACAGCTATTGAAGGCTTCACGAACTACGTGGTCAAAATAGATGTTAAATAATGTGGGAGCCAGAGGACATCCCTGTCGCACCCCAAGGTGTATAGGGAATGGCTCTGACTCCCGGCTATGTAGTTTTACCCGGGCCCGCTCACCATCATGAAGGTCCTTAATGATCGAGAGCAGAGGGTCAGGGACTCCAAAAGCACGAAGAACAACCCAGAGGCCAGGCCTACTAATGGTATCATAGGCCTTGACCAGGTCAATAAAGCAGAGATGTAGGTCTTGTTGGAATTCCCTACACCTCTGCTATAGCAGACGGACAGAAAATATGGCATCTGTGCAGGACCGCCCTTTCCTGAAACCGCATTGGGGCTCCGCAAGCCTCTCCTCAGCGTGCCTGGCAAGGCGATGTTGAAATAAACCTTGCCAGGACCTTTCCCGCCACACTGAGGAGTGAGATGCCCCTGTAGTTGTTACAGTCTGTGCGGTCCCCCTTCTTAAAGAGGGGGACCACCAGGGCATCCTTCCAATCCTGCGGAACCCGTCCAGTGGTCCAGACTGTTGTTATGATGTCATATAGGGCAGTCTGACGCACAGACACACGCACACACAGACACACACACAGACACACACAGACAGACACACGCACGCACAGACACACACACAGACAGACACACGCACGCACAGACACACACACAGCCACGCTCGCACAGACACACACACAGACAGACACACACAGACAGACACACGCACACACAGACAGACACACGCACGCACAGCCACACAAACACGCACGCACAGACACACACACAGACACACACACAGACACACACACACAGACACACAGACACGCACAGACACAAACACGCACGCACAGACACAGACACACGCACAGACAGACACACACACAGACACACACGCACAGACACACAGACACACACACAGACACACACAGACACACGCACACAGACACACATACACACAGACAGACACACACAGACACACACGCACAGACACACACACAAACACACGCACAGACACACACAGAGACACACACAGACAGACACACAGACACACACACAGACACACACAGACACAAACACAGACACACACACAGACACAGACACACACACAGACACACACAAACACACGCACAGACACACACAAACACACGCACAGACACACGCACAGACACACACAGACACACACACAGACACACGTGCGCGCGTGGACGTTATGTTAGGCTCGCTGTGGCGCTTCAGATTCGCACTTGCGCACAACTGCGTGTGTGTGTGCAGCAGCTTTGCTTCAGTTGTTTCCACTCTCCGAATGCCGTCGAAGCCTTTCTCTGTGTGCTAGGCCCACGGTTCCCAGCCTGCGTCCCACAAGGCCGTAGGGAGCGGTTCTGTTGCAGATAACGCAACCCACGATTTATTTTCTAAACGTCAGTTTTTTTTACACAGCATGAATTGTCTCTTCAGTGCGAGTCAATAAAAAGCAAGTTACTAACTTTCATAACCTTTTAAATTTACATTTTACAGCACTCCCGGGTGTGGTTTTAATTTAGAAAAATGTAATTTGGCGTATGGTGTTCCGCTAAAGCATTTACTGCCTGTAATTTCTACTAAACTGACCTTAAAATGTATGTATAAGCATAGTTAAACGTCTTCTTGAATTGTCAAATTAAACATCCTGTTTGACAGGACCCTGTTTTTCCATAATTGTGGGTAAAACCTGAAATGTCTTGGAACACAATATGCAAGCAGACAATATCCTCCTCAACCTCCCCATATTTTATCCCTCCACGTAACAAGTATTCCATATGCCAGACGGGCTTCTGGGAAACCATAATTTCAGCAGCAGTGGCTCAGCACAGTCGAACCCTGCACCCGGTTTTGGTATTCAGTGTCTCATCATCAGTCAGGCTTTGCTTGAATCAATGTTGGGGAACTGCCAGATGGTTTATAGGCAAGGATCCTCTCTGTGACGTATTGGTCCTAGTTCAGCGTGACACTATAATAATGTGTAACCAAAGCGTCGATGTTTTTATAAGTTGCCCATTCAAGTAGTTTTCCCTCTTGAGTCTTGTGAGTGCTAATTGCATAGCTGTAGGACTTTTTTTTTTGGTAGTATCAAACATGATGAGAAATAAGAATAGGTTGTACCCTTTCCGGCAATAAAACAGTTGTGTTTAGATGTTCAAACACCGAATAGATTGCACGCAAATGACAGGAGATCCAAGAATAATGTTTATGCACAACCTACATTGATGACCATGTGAATAACCCAACCGGCAATGTATACCCATTGTCATTTATATACATTCATTAACCCCCCCCCCTTCACACGTGAAGGGCTCACAAGTGGCGTCATCACATCTATCCCTCGAAGGAACGAAACAGGAGGATTTCTCCACAAATCTGGCTGTTGCCTAATGATGCTAGTTGTAATTACTGGCGAAACGTCGTATTCAGATGGAAAATGTTGTGGGTTTGCTCTCCAACACACCGGTGCGCTGTACTAGTAACGAATTGGCACGTTTTGTCTACGTGACAAACCTTAATAATTGGCTGTGTCGTGTGATGGCGGGTTACAACTTATTTATTCTTACGCGATCTAAACAAAAAACCTTTATTATGAATAATATTGTAATATTGGTCGCGAAAGCCTACGTGTTAAACTGACCATATAGATACCTCTTACTCATTGCGATATTTATCCCTTCACTCTTGAATTCCCTATTAAACCAAAACACAGAGCTTACTTACACACGTTACCTAACCTTTTTCTGAAGCCTCTTGCTCTTATGATTATATGCGCACAGTTTCTTTAATTCTCTCCACATGTTTCAAATACGACCCAATATTATTTGTTAGTTGTGCAATATTCCTGAATGGTCTTCTTCTCGTTCTCTGCAATGCCCACGTTTTTGTCTTTGTTGTGTTGCTCACGTGCCACGAAGCTAGCCGTGTAAAAATAGCCGGCAAACCGGTTAAAAAGGCTCATCTGTGCAACACATCAAATCAACTCAAACTCTATCCACAAATGAAAAGATTGGGGCCGAAAACAGGATGTTCTTTCTCAGCCGTGACCTTGGTGGGATGTGTTATATTGAAGTAATTTCATAACTAGTAAACCACCCATTTGTTAGATTTGTGTTGCGAAATTGTTCTGTGCATCCAGTTAATTTGATTATAATGTCGTGCACAAACACGACTCTATTGCCAGTCCATGGCTTGCATAGTAATGTGGCATTTTAACATCGAAGCATTCTGCAGTAAATGAAATCACTGCCCTCTCGGTGGTCCACCAGAGGGCATATTAAAAAACGCGTCCGCTATTAGCACTGCGTTAAAAACGTACAACTATAACCTCTTGCTCGGCTCAGCAGGCCAGTGCGCTGAGCTAGTGCTTCTGAGCCACCCAGTTCCAATCCGCGAATCAGCTGGCCGTGATTAAACCACGTGCTCAAGATGATGGGCGGAAAAGCCAGTTATAAATCAGTGGCTGAATAAAACCCACAACAGAGTGAATTTGGTGTTCACTTAATGGAGCTTATTCCAGCCCTGAGAATTGAAATTATATTTTGCTGACCTGTGAAAAACATACTGTGCAGGGAATTCATTCAGCGGTATTGACCTCAAGCGTGGATAAAATGAGCCCCTCGAAGTGTCATCAGAAGTAGATATATTGACAGGATTTTCTTGCACTATCCCATTGCAATATAATTTGGAAACAAAAAAATTTAAACGTACGTAAAAAATATCAACCATAATAGAGTTATTTTGGGTATGATCGCGTAAATATATAAATGTTGTGTCATTAAAACCCGCCACCGCCCGACACAGCCAACTAGTAAGGGTTGTCACGTAAACAGAACGTGCCAATTCGTCACTAGTACAGCACACCGGTGTGTTGGAGAGCCAAGCCACAACATTTACAATCTGAGTACGACGCTTCGCCAGTAATTACAACTAGCTTCATCGGGCGACAGCCAGATTTGTGGAGAAGTCCACCTGTTTCCTTCCTCATATAGAGGCGTAGATGTGGGGAGACCACGCTTCTGCGCTCTTGCAGACAGACAGGGGACCCTTATTTCACTCGTGTTAGATGTGCCATCGCCTCTCCTATTAAATCTCCCTTGCACAAAGCTGGGTGCCGGTGGGGGATGCCGTGCCGCTCGACTTGACCTGCCGCATCTGTGCCGTCTCGATGGCGCACGCCACGCGCGCAGGCTCTGCCCGGACCTCATCGCCGAGCGGTGCCTGACGAGGTGGCGCGCCGACCCCGCCGACCGAGGCGTCGTCCACGCCCTCTTCCTCTCGCCGGGAGAGCGAGCCGAGGCACCGCGGGGCGGGAGCCCGCCGGGGTCTGCCTCGGAGTCGTGGCGGCGCGGCTGGACCGGCTGCCTGTTTCGCAAGGGCCCCAAGAGGGACGTATACCTCGAGATCCTGGAGGAGCCCCATCGCTGCGTCGTCACGCGGGCGAGTTTCGCCTGTCGCGCACCACCCAAGGGCCGGGGGTAGCGTCAACTTCTCGCCAATTAAACAATAGTGGGACGACGGGGGGTGGGGGAGGGGGGGGTGTTGCACACTGGCTATCAAGCGGTTCGGTATCTTGGTAAAAATGCTAAAAAATAATGATGACATATATAACGCGCCAGATTTTGCAGACACGTCAACAACTCAAGAGGTGCGTAGCCGAGCTCAGTGCTGCTCGAAAGGCTGATCAAACAGATAGAGGCCTTTAGATGCTTCTTGAAAGTCAGAGTGCATTTGATGGTGTGGATGTGCAAAGGGAAGGGAGAGTTCCACACCGAGGGGGCGACGGCAGAGACCGACGTGAGGCTGTAACAGTTCGAGACCTTTGATGTCTGAAGTAAATTGTGAGTGTGACGACGCTGCTGCTGCTGCATAGGGTTCTACCGTGAGCGTCAGTGCAAGGCGAGAGTAGTTGGCGGTGGGGAACCGGTGGTGAAGGTGCGATGACAAAGGCAGGTGATTTTGTCCCGCTGGCGAAAGGTAGCCAATGAAGAGTACGGAGAGCGGTGGCTCTCCGTACTCTTCATCTTCATTGCAAACGCCAGAAATGATAAGGCTTGCACACTGAAATAAATACCGCGATTTCATCCTGAGATGGAAGATTGTCTATTACTGTCCAAGTAATTGTTGAGCTTTTATGCTCGCCGAATCTGCGGCCCCTTTTGAATGTTGGGACACCCCAATTGAAGGCAGTTTGTTCCGTCACGCTCTCTGTCCCATAAACTAGCGTCTTGTTTACAAGCGTACTCTTCACAGGCTCCTGTCACACAGCGGAAGTCGTTAAAAGTTATTAGTATGGGGGTCAGCGATAACGTCTCAGCATACCCCAGTAGCGGACACACTGATAATACACAATTCAGGTGTTTTTTTGTGTCGTTAAGCCCGTCACCACCCGCACAGCCAACTAGTAAGGTCTGTCACGTTAACAGAACGTGGCAATTCATTACTAGTGCAGCACACCGCTTGTGTGTTGGAGAGCCAAGCCACAACATTTACAATCTGGGTACGACGTTTCACCAGTAATTACAACCAGCTTCATCAGGCGACAGCCAGATTTGTAGAGATGTCCACCCGTTTCGTTCCTTATGAATGACTATGGGTATCCATTGCCGTTTTGGGTTATTTATATGGTATTCACGTGATGCATGCGCAGTATGCAAGCCCATTGTTCTTGTAATGCCTGTTGATTGTGTGTACTAAAACAGCCGTACCAACTGTAATCCCTATGTGAAGTATGGTGACCCGTATAGGCGTGCATTTAAACAATGCATTATTGATGTGTTGATTATGGCACACCGATTATACTGTGCAGTAAGTCTGGCGACCCAAGTTCCGTTTTCGGCCAACGGCGACCATCAGTTGGCCAGGCAATATCCGAACTGAATCCTGGGTTCCCCCTTCATCAACCCATGCTGACCAGCGTGGGGAAGTATGGCCAAGCAACCCCCATGCCCGATACGACAGGGCCTTTGTATGTATGTTGAACTTCTTTTGCACCGTACGTAGCCAACCGTGCTCATGGGAGATGTGGGGAAGGACAACAAGCAGTTGTAAAGAAGTGAGTTTTCAATCTCGATGATTTAGAAGTGCATGGCTCCAGTGGCTTTCTAATATCGGAAGGAAGGGCGTTCCAGACGGCCGCAGAATCGCATCTGAAAGCGCATGATGGGCAGTCTAAACCCGCCACTGCTGCGAGGCTGACAAGAGTTTGCGTGATGAAGAGGTGGCCCTTATGTAAATGGAGACTACTCGGGTAGTGCGACCATTGGTGGTACCGACTTCTGCTGTGGGCCCATGGACTCGTGGTGTAAAGTGCGGTCTCCGAGCCAAAAGCCGCTGCGAGGGTGGCCGGAATTTGCGTGATGATGCTCCTAGACGAGATCGGCAAGGTATTTGTGGGCTAGCAAACAGCCATAAATGATCATTGTCAACCGCAACGTAGCCACGCGTGGCAAGCTTTGTCGCGTTGTTTTCCTGCCGACCCCCCTACAGCCCGACGATGCGGACGACGGTTTGTGGCAGCTGCCCTCCATGAGCGAAGTGCTGAAGATGGCCGAGGAGGAGAGCCGCAAGGTGTCAGAGGGCCGCTGTCCTGTTGACTCTGAGCCCCCTCTGGCCAGGGAAGACTCGAGCACGGCGGCCAGGCCTGGCCACAGCGCGGAGAGCAGAAAGGCCTGGGAGTTTTCGGTTTTTGGCCCCAAACATTTTGAACCGCCGGTGGTGAGTTTGGTTGCAGGCCTCCACCGGGACACCTCGAGCATTTCATTTGAGATCAACCGCGTGATTTCGGAAGGCGGTGGGTAATGGCGAGCAAAGTCATTCACATGGTCGTCTATTGCCGTCGGCAAATTGGCAAGTACAATCTTTGAAATGTGCTCGTTGATAATAACGGTAATTGGCAGCCTTTGAAACACCGCAACTTAAAAATCGACGTTTACGTACCGAGGCTTGACACGTAAGTAATGTCGCCGTGCTGCACCCAATTTGCTCACACTTTATAACAATCCGTTGCCTAGCATTGGTAATACTGTCCAGTAGCGTTGCTCGCACTGTGCGAGAAGTTCACGGCGGACGTCGCGTCCCTGAAACCTCTGCGCCGTTCTCTCGCCGAGAGCAACGCGACGCCATCGTTTTCCGGGCGGCCGTTGCTCACGGTCGGGCGCGACGGCGGGCGGCGACCTTTTCCCCGCGACCCTCTCCTGAGCGCGACCTCTCGTGCGTCCTCCGCAGATCCTGGTGGGCGTGCTCAGAGCGAGCGCGCGCACCGGCCTGCTGCAGCTCGCCGACCGCACGGCCGCCCTCGACTGCCTCGCCGTGCGGCCCCGACCCCTGGGCCGGGGCCGCACGGCGTGCCGGGACGCCGCCTTGCTGGGTGCGTCGCCGCGGTCGCCGCGCCGAGATGACGGGAGTCCAAATCCGCGCGGGTGGGGAGGGGAGGGGGGGTGGGTACGCGTGGCCACGGCGCTTTGTCGCGGCGTCCCCCGCCACTGTTTGTCATCGACTGGGCACGGAGGTGTGCGCCGGCGATCCGTTGCTTGAAAGACGAGGTTTTCGTGGGTCACGCTGACGCGTCGGATTCACAAACCGCCCGGGTGCGACGCGGCCGGGGGCAGCGAGTGAGTTGTATGGCCTGTGTGTGCGCGGACCTTGTGCGTGTTATCGCCTCCCATGTGTGCATGTACGTTGAACTTCCTTGATATGTATGTGTGTTGAACTTCTTTCGCACCGTACGTAGCCAACCGCTCCAATCCGAGATGTGGGGGAAGGACAACAAACTAAACACAAAAAGCAATGCTAAAGACATTAGTTTTCAATCGAGATGATTTAGAAGTTCCAGACGGCCGCAGAAGCGCATCTAAAAGTGCACGATGCAGTGACCATCTTCGTACGATGGTTAGCCAAAATCCGCTGCTGCTGCTGCGAGGATCGGCCGGAGTTGGCGTGGTGATGGTTCATTGCTCTTTGACGAGATCAGCGAGGTATCGTGGTTCATTTGTGGCCAAGAACTTTGTGTGTAATGAGTGCGACTTGAGAATCTTTTCGTTGTAATGTTTGTACAGTCGTTGTTTTTCTAGGTAAGTTGCAGTTTCCTTTTCGTATATAAACACTCCTTAATGAAACACCTATACCCCAAAGCAGGAGCCATCAGTCTAGATTCTGCGAGGCTTTCCTGGATAAACATGTTATTGCTGCTCTATAACAATGAACGTAGCAGGCCACTGTTGCAGGCATTTCGGTGATGAGATATGAACGGCCTCGCCTGGTATACAGGAGGTCGTGGGTTCGATGCCGACCCTGACGCCTGCTGTATATTTGGAGTTTGCATGTTCTCCCTCGGGTTTTTCCCGCCACATTTAAAACGTGCATTTAGATTATTTGGCTGCTATAAATGTCCATGCGATAAGCCACTTGTTGAGCTGTCATTTGTGGCCCGGTCGTGTCTGGAAAAGAGCCACATAGCTCAGTGGGCCTTCCCTGGTAAAATAAAAAAAATTGTTTAGTTTATAAGTTTCCGTTGGTGATTCTTGCGTCGGTGATTCTTTGCGTATCCTGCTCGTGACGCCGTGCGCTCTGGGCGGTGTGTGAAGCAGGCTGCCTGGTTCGTCTGAGCTGCTTCTCGTTGGTGGTGGAGAGATTTACCGATGCTCGTACGACAGGCACTCGCCAGCACCTCACCAGGTAAGGCTGCGTCATGTTAAAAACAATACAACTCCTGTGAGTGCGGAATCCAAACCCCCTACCCTCTGCCACGTGACAAGAACTCCAGGACTAATAGAGCGCGTATTTTTTGTTACTTTAAGTTGCCCGCACCTCCGATTAGCACGGTTGGCTACGCATGGTGCGGAAGAAGTTCGACATACGTACGTAACAGGATTTAAGGATGATTTGTTATATAAAGGGAATTAAATAATCAGTACATTTTCTGGTAGATAGCACAAGTCTATCCCGACGACGCCACGTGTTGCACAGACGGGTGTAGTTTGCAGTATCTTCACAGAAGGGGGGTGATGTTTACTACGTGTTTTCCTCTCAAAGTAAATTTGCAGGTAACATTTTTTTTTCTTATTTTGGCAACACTTGGAGCGTGGTGTGGGCACACGTGCCCGGCCTACTTTTTTTCAACGAGTGTCACGGGATGTTGGCGGAACACTGTGAAGCAGGTGGGGTGCGCGTATTTAATATCGACGGCACCCCCGAAGTTATTTGCCAGTGCCGCCGCAGGGCCTTGAAGTGCGAACTTGTGCAATGAGCGTCGCGTACAACGCGCTTCTGCCCAGGCCACACCACGTCACCACCACCACGTCACATCACCACGTCACAACACCACGTCACCACACCACGTCGCCACACCACGTCACCACACCACGTCACCACACCACGTCACCACACCACGTCACCACACCACGTCGCCACGTCACCACACCACGTCACCACACCACGTCGCCACACCACGTCGGCACACCACGTCACCACACCACGTCGCCACACCACGTCACCACACCACGTCACCACACCACGTCGCCACACCACATCACCACACCACGTCACCACACCACGTCGCCACACCACGTCGCCACACCACGTCGCCACACCACGTCACCACACCACGTCGCCACACCACGTCACCACACCACGTCACCACATCCACATTGCCACACCACGTCACCACACCACGTCACCACATCACCACACCACGTCACCACACCACGTCACCACACCACGTCACCACACCACGTCGCCACACCACGTCGCCACACCACGTCGCCACACCACGTCGCCACACCACGTCACCACACCACGTCACCACACCACGTCACCACACCACGTCACCACACCACGTCACCACACCACGTCGCCACACCACGTCGCCACACCACGTCGCCACACCACGTCGCCACACCACATCCACATTGCCACCGCCACACCACGTCGCCACACCACGTCGCCACACCACGTCACCACACCACGTCACCACACCACGTCACCACACCACGTCGCCACTGCCACACCACACGGGGGAGGCACAATCCAAAATCGAGATACATTTCTTCTCTTCGTTATTGTGGGCCACGTCCCAAGCTACCCGACGCAAGTTTTAATTAAACCAATTTATATTTTTTATTCGTCCAGGTGAGGCCCACTGAGCTACATAGCTCTTATTCAGAAGCGACCTGGCTATCACAAATGTAAGCTCATCGAAGTGGCTTATCACGTGGAAATGCCATGCTTTGTTAACAAGAACAAAATATTTAAAAACCGTTGCGGCTCTTCGGTCACTTTAACCACTTTGATGTTTTAAAACGTACAGGGGCTAAACATCACAGTGATAGCACTTAAGTGGCATGTAATATAATTTGGATTATTGCGGCGCTGCGAGGGATTTTTTTTCTCACGAACAAAGACTGAAATCTGCGGTCGGGCACTCCGTAATGCGCAGCCTCGCGTAGACTTCCTGGTCTCTCGTGGCTCCGTTTAATCGACTCGAATTCCACGCGCATCGTTGTCGCGTTAATTCTCCCTCGCGATTAGAGTTGTTGTTGTTGTAGATAAGAGGTCTTCACGCAACAGACTAACGAGGGACTGGTCTGTCTGTGCCTGTCTCGTCAAGCAGCGTTACCCTGAACATAACAACAGAGAATGCTCGCAGATTTACCGCCGACTGTCCACCAGCTTCCACTTTGGCCGTTTTTGTTGAGTTTAGTGTGGATTAAGGGTTAATGCTCATTTCACTTGACAGATGCTCCAGGATTGCCTCCTGGGAGGTCTGGGAGGGTTCCAGAGAGTTAGGGGGGGTTGTTGCCCAGGACATCTGCCTGGGATTTGTCAAAGATTACAAATCACTTCTTAACGCCTACAAAGCGGCCTTCATTATCCCACTTTAAAGTGAGTAATAATTAAAATACCTACAGAGCTATTCAAAGTGAGCATTTAAAACAAACAAAAATCTCGTCTAAGAGCCAAGTACTGGCATTCCTCGGTCATGAAGACTTCGATGTGTTCTTTGGGAGTCCCATTTACCTCAAGTGCTGCCCACGTAATCACCGCTTTTTCCCTTCTCCACACGCACACCGTCAGCAGCCGCCATTCCGTTGCGCCTTTTAAAGCCGCGCACAGTTACTCGTAGCGATGCTCTCGATTCGCGCCGAATCGGTGTCGCATTACTCCCGGTGTGCTCGGGGCGGCGCTCAAAGGGGTCGCGTGGAGGGCGCTCGAGGTCGCGCTCGTCTCGGATGGTGCTCCTTCCCCGTTGGCACGGCCACCGCTGTTGAAGGAAGGCCGCCACCCCCCCCGTTGCTGCTCATGAACAGCCCTCCGGCCGCTGGCCACACCGCAAGGATAACACCGCACTGCGACGCGCACAGTGTTGTGGTGATTGCGTATCAATAATATTCGTTTTTGCTTTTATATTGCGTCGTCGCGTGCACGGATTGCATCTCGAAGCGCCGTAGAATTTTGAACGCGCGCGGTATTCCTCGGGGAGGTGCGGGGGGGAATCCGCAGAGGAGCGGGAAGGCAGCCAGGGCCGGCGCCACCAACGATTGCCCAAGCTCAGTGGTCCTATATTGGAATATTTGGCCAACTCCATTCACGAGTGTGTATGCATTTATAAAGTTTTTAACGCAGTTCATTTACACGCTTGTCATGCCGTGCTTAGGATCTACGCTCAGTTTCACGCCGATGAAGCTACGGCGCTGTACCGGCCGAGCGGCGGGGTTCGGTTGACGGCGGCGGCCGGCAGCAGCCGCCCGGAACAGGCGCGGGCCGGGCCCGCCGCCGAGCGGCCTCCGGAGACCCAAGAGGACGTCGGTCGCGGGGACGAGGACCTCTCGAGCGGCAGGGCATCGCCAACGGCCCGCGCGGCGTCGCAGCAGCGTGCCGCCGGGCCCGGCCCGGCGTCCGACGGGGCGGCGAACGGAACGGTTGAAGGCAGAGGCGAGGAGGGGGCTCTTGGCGCGCGACAGCAACGACGAGGCTCCGGGGAGATTGTCGCGCCGGGAGCGCCCGGCGCGCGCGGAGCGAAGCGCGACGCCGCCGAGCTCGTCGGACCGGCGGCAAAAACGTGGAGGCGGAACGACGACAACGGCGGCCACAACGGCGGCCACAACGGCGACCACAACGGCGGCCGCGCGCAGGCCGCTCGCGCCGCCGCGCCCTCGCGGAACGACGGCCCGGCGGCGGCGGCGGCGGCGGCGGCGGCGCTGCCGTCCGGCGAGCGTGCAGCGCCGCCCTCGGTCTCCGTGACAAAGCCGCGCGGGAGCTCGGGGCCAGGCGGCGATGGCGCCGCCGGCGTCCGCCGGGAGACGCGGCCGGGCGGCCCCGCGGGGCGGAGCGAGGCCGGCGACCGCCGTGGCGGCCCGCCGTCCGGGGGCCCCGGCGGGAGGGGGTCGGTGGCGAGAGTTTTCGTCGTGACGCACAAGGAGGCGCTGATGGTTCGCGGCGAAGGGTCGGCGCCGGGGCTGAGTTTCTACGCCACCGTGAGGATCTTGGAGGAGACGGTGCCGGACGAGCAGCGGGCGACTTCTGACGGACCGCGTGGCGGCAGCGGCGGCGGCAGCGGCGGCGAGCCCGGCGTGGGCAAGACGACGCAGGTGTGTCGTCACGCCGCCCCCCCTCGCTTCTTCCGTTGTACCTTCCTCGCCCTCTCTCTCTCTCTTTTCTCATTGTTTACCTCTTGTGATTTGCAGCCACGAACGCAATAGTGGGCCCGCGTTGCCTTGCACCGTTCGACAAATGCGTTGGCGTTGAGCGTGTATAAGCCACTCGCCATCCCTTAGAACTGAATCACAAATCCGTTGCTCTTTCATTTGGCCTTTCAAAAGAAGAAGAACGATCTGTTCAAAAAAGTTAAAGTGCTTTTCCCCTGAAACCATCGTCGGGAGGCACCCCCTCTCCTCTAGTTGACTTTTCCTGAAGCAGCATGGCAAGGGAGATATTTATTCGAGGTGCGACCACTGTTGACGGGTTCCCACCAGGTGACGCTCATTTAGTTGCGTGCAGGAGGAGCGAATGGACGAGTCGACCCTCGGATCGGGATTATAATTCGCGAAGTTACCGGTTGCGGGCCAAGGACTCCGCGTGTCTCTTGTCCCCCCCCCCCCCCACCAATCCCCCCTTCTCTTCCGCGTGTTCTAAAAAAGCCAACGTGAGTGCCACCTCAGAGGCGTCCGCGCTGCTGTTGGACGTCGCTTGATGCTGCGTGTGTTCCGCGTTCACCCCAGATGTACTTCGTTGGGGAGGCGGTGCGGTGGCACTCGATCCTCCACCCGGGGGGCGCCTACGAGCTGCTGCTGCCCAGCGAGCAGGTGGCTGACAATGGCATGACGTTGTTTTATCCCGGCCGCGGAGAAACCCACTCCCTGCGCGACGCGAAGATCTCTCACCGTTTTTTGGGGTTATTTTGGGGTGCGGGGCTTTACAGGGTTTCCATGCCGTGTTTCCATGAAGCAATCATCGTGCCCATGTGCAGAAAGTGAATAAGCAATTATGCAGCCTCAAATACGTTATTTAATGGGTTTTCCGTAAGCGTAAGAGGCACACTCGATCTATGAATCGGCGAATTGTTACCTGCCTAAAGTACGGAGCCGGTTTTTCCCTCCACATTTAGAAACACGCGTTTAGAGTATTTAGCTGCTATCAGTTTTCACGCGATAATAAGCCACTTTGTTGAGCTATCATTTGTGGCCAGGACGCTTCTGAAAAAGAGCTATGTGTGTATTGAACTTCTTTCGCACCGTACGTAGCAAACCGTGCTCATTGGAGGTACTGGTGAAGGACAAGAAAATATGGCTCAGAGTGGGCCTTACCTGGTAACATAAAAAATAGTTTTGTTTTTATTTAGAGTCACGGCCTGCAGGTTGTGCCACTCGGCTGTGAACGTGACGCGGCCCAGCGGCGGACGCGTTCACCGCTTGTCGCTTGAGGTTCACGGTTCGAACATCCGGCAGGCCACCCCGGTTAATACTGCCGGTATGATGATCATAAAAAAAAACACTAAGCGACGTTAAAGATCCCGTGACGTCTTTCCATGAGAGTAGGCCATTGTGTGCCGGCGTCAAATCAAAGTTGGAACAATTATACGCAAATTTAGCAATCACCGCCTCCTACTCCTGGCAGGTCAATGGCCGCTCGCAGACCTTGAGCTGAGTCGCATTGCACCACAGCGGGGCAGGATAGGCAAAACGAAAACTTCTCTCCGAGGCGGTCGCGTTACGGGGATGCAGTATAAATGCAAGTGATCTTATTTTTTGTCGCGAGTTTCCGTGGCCCATTGGTGTGAGCGATTGACGCGACGCGACCATGCTGCAACGTGCGTGTCTCCGGGGGGTGTTGCCCAGGAGGCCTCCCTGTACTCCCCTCAACCGGGAGTCCCCGCTGGGGTCCTCCAGGCCGCGGGCTGCCCTCACCTCATCCAGCTGATGCCCAACTGGAAAATCAGAAGCCTCGGGAGACCCGAAAGCCCGTCACGCACGCAGGTACCGAAACGCGTTCGTGCGACGGCCTGCTCGTTTAATATGACGTCCAGGGGTTCCCTTGTGAAGCAGACGGGGATTCATTTTGTGGTTTAAACTAAATTATTTTTATTTTAATCTTGATTTGAAGCTTTCGTGACTGCAGGAATCCATACTCTTTGGTTGTTTTGGTAAAGTCACGTCGGTAGAAAAAATAATACAAGCAATCGTGACTTCGTGATCTATAATTTTTTTTTATCTACGTGACTTTACCGAAAGGACCAAAGAGTATTTTTATTTTACCAGGTAAGGCCCACTGAGCTATGTATCTGTTTTTCAGAAGTGACCTGACCACAAATGATATCACGTGGAAATTCCTCCCAGCCAAAGTACTGTAAACATGTTTTTATAAATGTGGAGGGAAAAACCGGAGGACCCGGAGAAAAATCCACACGACCACGGGGAGAGAGAGAGACACGCAAACTGCAAATATACAGCATCAGGCGTCAGGGTCGGGATCGAACTGACGACCTCCCCCAGAAACACAAACAGTAGCTCCAGTATCCGGCTATCTGGTCTGAGATGTCGCAGTTGTTGCAATTAACATTTGTGAATTCCGTCTCGCGCTTTAATGTTGTTTATTTATCATCAGTTGGAACCGCAGCCCAGCACCTCTTCACAGAGGTCAGAGGAAAGCGATGACCATCGTCTGGGCCTCATGAATATCAGAGACGTCTTGGAGGAAAGGTGCGAAGCGGTCACAAGGGAACTGATTGCGTTTCCGAATTGCATTAAACACGAGCACTGACTTGACACACGCCCATCTTCATCGCTCCTTGGTGACCCCTACAATCTGCCACTACAATAGAGCAAGCATGGCCGTACGAGAAGCGTGCCTACGAGCTGCAGTCATCATTAAGACATTATCTGGCGACGCTGCTGTGCTGGCAGTGATGCACAAGCACTAACATCCAAAAATAATACATTTCCTACAAAAATATCACAGCGCTGCTTTTGGTAAAAGCTAGGTGCGCCGCTGTGTTTGTATTTAATCTTTTCGTTTTGCGCGCCATTACAGAATAATCTATTCAATTAATTTGTATGTGTAACAATCGTTTATTATTATTATTTTGGACATCGAATAGAAATTGAAATGAAGAAGCAGAATCCGCTTTGACGTTGACCTCAGTGCAGTCTCACTTTGATGACTTTTGGTCGCTCTTGCAGTGAACATTTGTGGAAATGAGTGAACACCGCCCTCTCCCCTTGCGATCAATAACAAATAGTCACTTTTTTTAAAATTCACATCAATCCAGAATCCAGTAAGTTGTTGTAACTGAGTGCAAATTCAGTTTGGTAAAAGCGACCTTCTGCTCACAATTTTTGCGAAAATTATTGAAGACCGATCTCTCCTCCCGGTTTATAAATAGTTAATTTATTTTGTATTCACATCAGTACAGAAGCCGTGAAAACAAAATTCACCTCAAGGAAAACTTTTGGGGGATGATCGTCAATTAACACCAAATGTGATGTAGAGGGTTTTTTTTTAATTTAAAAAATTCAATACAACCTTTACATTTTAGTCTTTTTCATTGCATGAATGTTTTATGAACCCATCATATGACGGGCAATTACACTAGCAGCACAATATGACAATTGGTGATGGTGTGGGCAATGTCCCCTTCTTCATAGCACGTCAGGGGCAATCTCTATGTCTCTTCGATACAAGATGCCTCTCTATGTGCTATGAAGAAGGGCATTTTCTCAAGAAGCCAGCGACTGTATATGTTCCCCGTTATATATTGTTCCATGTAAGGCCGTGTGTTATTGACGAATGTGTTGAGTATTTTGTCACTTTCCATAACAGTTGACTGCAATTGAATGTTAGTTGTATATGTGCGTGCATTGTGGTGGTGGAGAACGTCACTGGGTCATACTTCCACCGAGGCCAGTTCCTTAGTCTAGACTCTAGAAGGTCATTAAGGATTCATCACACGCATTTTATAAACCGGCATGGTGCAATAATATTGACAAATGAACAAAAAAATGTGTAGAAATTGGGATGGGTTGTCCAAAACGGCCAGGCGCTGGGTGGAAGGATTGTGAGTATTTGATTGGTCCTCGTTGTGTGATGAGTGATGACATCATGTCGCCGTGCACTCTCAAGGGGACGGCCACGGGTGTCCATCGCAACGAAACTCATCCGAGACAAATGAGCCACAGGAACCGGCGGTGGGCAAACAGTCGCACGAAGCCTCAAATGTGCGGCCTCATTTTCCGCGCGACGTCGCGTCTGGTCATACAGCCTCACCGAAGCGTGCGCTTAAGAGGTGGAAAAAAAAATCGCATCTCTTTCTGCTGCCCGCCACTACATCCCCCTCCCGCTCTTACCCCCCCACCCCGACCCTAACCCAACAGCTGCGAGCAACTGGTGTCGTTCACCGGTCAAATTTCCGAGAGGTTCTGCTACCACCCGCACGATCGCTACCGGAAGCTGCACGACTCCGCCTCGCGCAAGCGCCTGGGTGAGTGAGACGGGCGCTAACGAGCTCGGTGCGCACGCTCTCCTCGTGGGATTGCCGCCCAAGCCGGGCACTCGCGGGGCTTGGCACAGTGTGATCTGCGTTGTTGGAGACAGTCGGGGAGGTAATTTGCGCGGAGCCAAAGTTGGGGTTTTTTTTTTTCCCCCGCAAGCTTACGACTTTGTACAAAGCACCTGGGCAGTGCGGGACACGAGTGAGCTCGACGAACCAGTTTAACGTCGACCAGGACTTGAGAAAAAAAGTTTCCTCAGTTAACGTGTGGAAATGGAACAATTAAACTAATTTTATTTTAACAGGTAAGGCCCACTGAGCGACGTAGCTGTTTTTCAGAAGCGACCTGGCCACAAATGATAGCTCAACGAAGATGGCTTATCACGTGGAAATGTACAGCAACCAAATGGTCTAAACGCACCGTAGCTATGGGGTCACACTAACAGGTTGACGTGCTACTCTCTAGCAATACAATGGCTTCTTCAGCAACGTAGCTGTGGGGTCACACTAACAGGTTGACGTGCTACTCTCTAGCAATACAGTGGCCGAGGTATATTACTGTAAATTCCATCTCTAGCCCCGCCCACTTACCCTTGGGTTGCAGCCATCTGAAACCGCTATAACCTCTTGCTGTTACAGCTCACTACAGCTCGCTATACTTCTCCTGCCTCAGCAGTCCACCTGCTGTATTTTTTCACCTGAAGACGATTCCTCGTGTTGCGATCGAAACGTCGTGATTGTTTTTATTATTTTTCTATCTACGTGACTTTACCGAAAGACCCAAAGAGTATAATATGGAATGAGGTTCATCTGTTTGGTTGCATTGGCATGAAACGAAGAGGCTTTGCATTGAATACCAAATGTATACATTGCACGAGTGTTGAAAGAGGCCAGTGGTATGCACTTTCAGCATTAGTCCTGTGACACCAGCTTCTCAATATCAGAATCATCATATTTATTTATACTGGAGGAATCCGATGAGCTGTAAAGCTCTTTTTCAGAGATGTCCAGCAGCGGCGGGTAGGAGTGCAAAGTTGAACTTCTTTCGCACCGTACGTAGCCGACCGTGCTCATCGGGGGTGCGATCTCGGGCTAGTCTCTTGAGGCTGAACGCCGCCATTATAATAACAACTTGCCGTGTTAATGCATTTCTTACTCCATCGCTGCCCACTGCGGACAGGCATTTGGCTGCCCGGAGACCCCGACCTACGGTTTGACGTGCAGGACCTCGACAGCCCCGAGCTGAGCGTCAGCGTCTACCTGGACCCGTCGTGCTTCGTGTACCCACTCGGCCTGCTGCCCGGCGCCACCGTCGCGTTCCGCCGCCTTCAGAGATGCACGTCACGGTGCGGCCATGCTCGCGCGGGGCGGCCATGCTCGCGCGGGGCGGCCATGCTCGCGCGGGGCGGCCATGCTCGCGCGGGGCGGCCATGCTCGCGCGGGGCGGCCATGCTCGCGCGGGGCGGCCATGCTCGCGCGGGGCGGCACTGTCCGTTGCGACCGTGGAACCGTGCGGCCGTAGTTTCCGCGTTGGCGGCGTGGACGCCCCTGAGTGTATCAGCGAAGAGATGGACATTTCACTCTTCTGCGTTTTAGTAATTTTTTTTATTTTTCATGATTGCTCGGATTTTTACCAAGGACAGCCTTTCTGTGAACGCAACGAGCAGGCTTCGTTACTCACATGTCAATGGTTTTGCTGGATTAAAAAGTCGAGAAAAAATTTCGGCCACCTCCTTGTCATCGTCAACTCGGCGTGTCTGACGAATTCAAATAGTTCTCGTCACCGCCACAATCGTCCGCATTCATGCGACTGCAGACTAACCTATGGCACACTCCTAGTTGTTTATCTGCCACGAATAATGATGAGAACAATGAACTTTGTCTTCCGTCCACCTGGCAGCGTGCGGAAGAATGTGTACTGCAAGATCCTGCCCGTGAGCAGCATGGACGTGACTTCCTTCGCAGACGCCTCGGCCAGGTGGCACGCACGGCTCGCGCATCGCGTCCCGTCGCACGTTCACGCCACTCGGCGGCCAGGCGCCGCGCTTCAAACTCACGCCTTGCACTATTTCCTCCTCCCCCCCACCACCGCGGAACTCACGAGGTGGGGGGGGGGGCTCATGCGGCGTCCGACAGCAAACCTGTTCAGAGTTGTGCATCATTTCCCTTCCATCGCTCGCTGTCATTTCATCTTGTATAGTTTTGCCTTCAAACCGGCGGACGTGAATCTCAACGAGCCGGCTTGCCCTGACTCGCACCGCCTCGCGTTGCTGCCTTGAATTTCCCAGCCCGCTGAGCGACCCCTGGGGAGACGGAGCGCCCACTGTTCAAATCGCCGATCTCCTGTTGCGCGGCCAGCAGCGGGTCACGTCCGGGCGGCTCGGCTGCAGGGTCGTGCGAATACGCTGGCTGCGCCTGTGCTGGGCCTGCGCCATCTGCGGCTCCAATTTCGCCCAGGTGACCACAGAGACCACCGAGCGACCGACCGACCCACTGACCCATCGACCGACTCGCCGACCCACCGAGCGACCGACCGACCCACTGACCCATCGACCGGCTCGCCGACCCAGTGAGCGACCGACCGACCCACTGACCCATCGACCGGCTCGCCGACCCACCGAGCGACCGACCGACCCACTGACCCATCGACCGACTCGCCGACCCACCGAGAGACCGACCCACTGACCCATCGACCGACTCGCCGACCCACCGAGCGACCGACCGATGGACCTCGCCGCTTGTAAACACCCCGGCGGCCCTCGGCGCGTGCCCGGCACGGGGATTCCGCTTGGCAACTCCCACACTGCTCACTCCCGTGCCCGCGGAGTGCCCTGCAGGTGACGGGCGTTTAAATTGACAGCGGCAGGATCGGTGCTGTTGATGTGCGGTGCGTGCGTGTAAGTGCGTGCGTGTAAGTGCGTGCGTGTAAGTGCGTGCGTGTAAGTGCGTGCGTGTAAGTGCGTGCGTGTAAGTGCCAGCACTGCTTCAGGTGATTGATTATTATGACTTTGTCAAAGCTGCCTTTAATTTGGCAGGCCGTTCTAGCGATCCAGAAATGCAATTAGCATTCAGAGAGGATAAATAGCCATGCATGGTTCATGGCGATGGTCATAATCTTTCGATTTAAAGCTTTCATGACTGCAAGGATTTATCTTCTTTGGTTCTTTCGGTAAAGTCACGTAGAATGAGAATAAAATAAAACAATAAACGTCGTGAGAATTTTATTGTTTTATTTTATTCTCATTCTACGTGACTTTACCGAGAGAACCAAAGAAGATGGTAATAATCGTCGGCTTCTTGGGTGATTCAAATAATCGCTCGTTTGAGCCTCGGCGTGGGCGTGCTACAAGCGTGCGTGCATGCGTGCGTGCGTGTATCTCTCGCAGGGCCAGTGCAGCGGAGCTTCGCGTGGGACGTGCAACTCGGAAGAGGGCAGCTTCACGGCCAAAGCGAGGTAAGGCTCCAACGTCGCTCTCACGGTGCATCAACGGTTGCCCTGCTCCCGTCCCCCCCCGGTTGACACCGCATCGGTTGTCGTGGCTTTGTGTGCGGACTGCCCCCTTAAGTGGCGTCACGTAAAAGCAGTGCTCACCCTGCGGGCGGCCTTGCTTGGCCTATTTTTTGCAGGATCTGCTATTCTTTTTTTTTGTCGGCTTTCAAAAGTGCGGTGGCTCCTGCCCTTTTGTACTCGGCCGGGTTTTTAGCAATTTGGCAAAGGGGGGGGGGGGATCCACCGTTGTGGCCCCATCGGTCCGGGGCCCAAGTGGTGATGCCGTGCTCAACCCCTCGACACGCATCATTTTGTTTACTCAGCGAGACACGTATGAGACCGGTGACTCGCCGGTCAAGGCGCCGGTCAGGGAAATTTACGATTCTCCCTCGTGTAAACAGCTTTAGAGTCGTTGATCTCCGGCCGTGTCGCATTCGCACGCGGCACTCGCGGGGCCTGAGCGTTGCATGTGGAGGAGCGGACATCCCTGGCCGGGCAGTGGTGGCTACGCACGCGGCTGCCTGTTGTTGTAGGCCAGCGCTGTGGAGGCAGCGAGGGTCGGTGGGTCACCGCGCACCTGCCGTGACACTCCCTTGCCGTGCGCGTCCGGCACGTGCCGTGCCCCTGGCTCGCCAGGACACATCGGGACAGCAGAGTGTGGACTAACCGCCATCTGTTTCCATCTGTACGGGGATAGAGCGTTGCCCCCCCCCCCCCCTCGTGCCCGTGGGTTTTTTTTTCTGGCTGCTCCGGTTTCCCTCCCGCTCGTGCGAACGACTCATTAATTGGCTGAACACATCTTAAGAGAAGCACTCAATGCAGGACCCTCCTGAACAATGGTTGCACGACTCAGTGTTGCTTTCCTCCCTAAATCAGTAATTATTATTTGTCGTCATTAATCCCGCGTCTTTTCTTTTAAACGAACGCAGTGGGCCCATAAACGTCGGTTGGTCAGCAACAAACAGCACCGTTGAAATCGTAATCGATAACAGTTTACACGGTTTTTTTGGGGCTTTTGCATCGAGGAAGATTGTTATCAGAGCTCGGGGAAAAAGAGACGATGGGAGGGAAGTTATTCCCAAGTGGAGCAGTGCAAGAGAAGAAGCAGAAAACATAGCCACCAGGGAGACAAAGGCAGCCGGGCGTGGTGCTGGCCACCCACCTCCTCGTGTGCCGTGCCGGCCTTATTCAAAGGTGCTCGCCAACAGCACTTGCCCCAACAGTGTGTTAAGGCTATACGGGGTGGGACCTTTGTCTTTGTTCCGCAGCGTGATAGTGGACGATGGCACGGGCCATGCGTTCATGTACATGGACGGCCTGCAGGTGGCCTCCCTCCTGGCCCTGTCTCTCCCGCAGTGGGAGGCCCTGCACCGTCACATACTGAACACCTCTGGAGAGGCGTCCTTCAGCTACAGCGACAAGGTACACGTTCAATGCACGGCCCCTTTTCACGATCCACTGCTGGGTGAGCGCCTCCTCCCCACGCCGTGCGGCTCGTGGGAGTTGTTTGACCGAGCTTCACCGCGCCGGACGGTTGTGTGTTGGAAGAGGAAGCATAGGCATGGGAGCGGAAGTATTGTACAACATGATTTTGGTGCACCGCCCTCTGCAGACCTCCACGGAGCAGAGCCCGACGTCGTTATGGTAACCTGGCACGAACGGCGTCCTGGCTTGGCTTGTGACATCCGATCATTTGTGTGCACATTTTGGGTGACGCGTTTCATAGGCACAGGGCAAATATGATTCTCAATACATCCTTCTCCCTCTCGCAAATTATATTCCAAGTGTTCCTTCAGCGTCGTAAGACGCGAGATTAAGTCGTTTCCACTCGGAGCCCTCGCAGCAGTTATCGTCGGAAAACAGTTCACAGAACCACGTTTGATTTCTTGCTCCAGTGAGTTTTGCGGCATCGGTGCTCATCTCCTGCTTACAGTCCTGAGACAGTGGCGGGGAATTCCACCCGTCTATCCGGAGGACACACCACTTTTGACTTCTCTACATCGTGGTTACGCATATTCTTTGGGTCTTTCGGTAAAGTCACGTAGATAGGTTCATAGAAAATAACAAAAAAACATTTCTTATGATGACGACCGCTTGTATTGCGATCGAAACGTCGTCGTTTTTTGTTACCGAAAGACCCAAAGAATATGAATTCCTGCAGTCACGAAAGCACTAAGTCAAGATTTTAGTGGTTACGTATTTTATCAAGCTCCAGAGAGATGATGGGCTGAGTTAACCCCACCTGGGATTTTAACACGCAACCTTCCGATTGCGAGCCGCTCGCTTCCACGGCTGATCCACCCGACTCGGACGCCTTCCGTAGGCCTCTTATCCACACCGGGGCTCAGGGGGAGCTGTATTTCACGTGCCCTGCAATGAGTGCTGCAATTCCAATCATGGCAAACATGCCATGAGTCATCAGACGTAGACTAAGGTAGGGGAAGTGACGGTCCACGTTTAACGTGGTGAGTTTTTTTGTGTGCTTGCTCATGACCAGGTTTGGTCACGGATGGCCCTCCCCAGATTTGAACCGCTAACCTAGGCTTTGTAAGGTGAAGCTGGTTGTACCTGGTATATAAACTTGGTCTGGACTTTCTTCTGGGTTTCCAGAGGAGTGCCGAGCGTGCCGTGTCAACACAGCACCTGGGGAGACGGAAGGAGGTTAGCCTCACTAGCCCCCTTGTGTGACGGACCTGTTTCAATAGGCGCTCGCTAACAGCACTTGCCCATACAATATTGTACTTGCGTACCATGTGATGCCGACATAAGCGCGGGGGCCGCCCAGAGCAGGTCGGCAAATATGGAAATTGCCTCGAGCTTCGAGCAATAGAGGGGCCCCACAACAGCCCTGTTATTTTTCCGCTAATGATGAAGGAGGGTCTCGCGTGGAATTCCGCCCTGGGCCTCCGGGAACCTCTGGGCAGCCCTTGTTGTGCGCAGCGGGGAGCGACGGCCCAGTGGTTAGCGCACCGTGCTGAGAACCCGGCAACCCGAGTTAAATGTTCACTCCCGACCACCTCCCCTCGTGTGCCGTGACAGCCTTCACAGGAGGTGCTCGTTATTAGTACCTGTCCCAGCAGCCTTGTCCTCGCTTTGTCTTCTGCGTGCGACGGGTGTCCAGTTTTCAAGAGTCACTCTCGAAGGCCTCACGGAAAACCTCATCCGGGCGCTCTGTTGCAGCCGCTCGGTGTCCCGACCACTCTGCCTGCGCTTTCGAATCAAAACGTGGGCACAGGAAGAGCAGCAGGGTCTGTACATTATTACCATCCAGGCACCTCCCTCCCTCCCCCCACTCCTCCCTCCCCTCCCTCACCACCCTCCCTCCCCCCACTCCTCCCTCCCCTCCCTTGCTCCCTCCCCCCACGCCCCCCTCACTTCCTCTCCTCCCCTCCCTCCCCCAACTCTTCCCTCCCTCCCACACCTCCCCTCCACAAATCCACGTATCAGCAGCATCGGCCGTGGAAGTTGCCACATTTGCCGGAGGCTTCTGCCGCGGCTCCACGCCTCCCTCCAAGCCGGCAAGGTCGAGCTCAAGGGGCCGTTCGCCACGCTGGCCGACGTGCCGGCACGGGCACTACGCACGCTCGCCTCATGTCGTGCTTTGCCGTTGTGTCTGGGTTCGGTTTTAAAATAGTTTGTTGCGTGCGCACGGAGGAACATCTTTGGCAGCTTGTGAGTGCCGCTCCATGGCGACGGCCGTCCCTGTGTTCGTAGCTCACGACTCGGGACGGATCACGTGACCTACGTATAGTCTGCAGACGTCGTGCATGCATGGCGGGGGCAGCGTGCCGCGCATATGGGTAGCTAAAATATAAACACAATCCATGCCTTCGTGATGTTTAGCCGTGCTCACCACGGTGGCTAGGAGATGTTAACTACCTCGCCTGGTGTACAGGAGGTCGTGGGTTTGATCCCAACCCTGACGCCTGCTGCTGCTGTATATTTGGAGTTTGCGTGTCTCTCTCTCCCCGTGGTCACGTGGATTTTTGTTTTTTTCCTCCACATTTATAAACAAGCGTTCGCAGTATTTGGCTGCTATACATGGTCACGTGATGAGCCATCTTCGTTGGTCGCTTCTGAAAAAAGAGCTACGTTTCTGAGTGGGCCTTACCTGGTAAAATAAAAATTGTTTATCGTTTCCCCCCCCTCCTTCCCGTGCGTTTCCCACCCCCCCCCCCTCCCCCCCGTGTTGCCGGCCGTGCAGAGCAGCTGCGGCCCTTTGAGTTTGAGCTGAAGAAGGCGGCGTACAGCACCCTCGTGCCGTGTCGGCCCACGCTGCTGTGCATGGGCGTGCGCGACCCCGCCGCTCACGCTCGCGGCGCCGGGTGCCAGGAGTCGTAGCGCGCCACGCGGGGGGGGCGGGGGGCGACGGGGGGGAGTTTGGCCTCGGCCTGTGGTGGAATGTGGCGCAAACGATTGTGTTTATTGTGAATATTGTTACCGCGCTCGTTCAACCGCGAGAACTCTTGCTTGAGGAAGTTCCCCGCTACCTTCCAGCGGTACGGCCCGGCCGGCCGTTGCTGCACGTTTCCCGATGGAGCAATGGCACGAGTCATTTTTCAAATTTGGATTGCGACGGGCGACACGCAGTGGCCCGCTCTCCACCGAGTGACGCGGTGGGATCCTCAGCGTCCACTCTGGTGACGGAGACGGCTTCGGTGTTTTACGGTTGACGCGCCCTCTGCATTAAACAGGGCAGCCTGTCGGATTAGAAGTGCGAACCTTCGCTTCAAGTGACGAACCCGCTACCGCAAGTAAGATTTTATTCCACACACCCCTACCTGGACCGTGTCCCAGGATGTCCAGTCTGAATTTGAAGCTTTTAAAAATGTTTTTTTAATCTTAATGTCCGTGACATCACAGCTGTACGATCTCCGTGCCTTTGGCTCGCTGTAAATGCGGGTTTCCGTTGCCGCGACGCGACAGTGGGGTGACGTTCGAGGCGGAGCGCACGCCTTAGCTGCGTGTCTGTGAAATCAGAGCTGTCGGTTGTCCTGCGTTGCCTCTTCAGCGATGCTCTCGATCGGGGGCTTTTACTTTGAAGTGGGGGAGGTCCAAGCAAACTGAGCAAGCAGGCTGTCGGGGTTTGCATGTGTCAACGGAGCAAGACAGCTGACCTGATTATCGCCGTGCAATCATTCAGTGGCATTGTGGAGAATAAATTAATACATTATACCTCCGATTAGCGCGGTTGGCTACGTACGGTGCGAAAAAAGTTCAACGTGCAAATACGAAGTTCGGCATGCGTCCATACATGTATCTCTCAAGCAAACCTGACTGCTGATGAGACACTGATTGCCGAACCCAGTCCAGGGTTTGCTGGTAGTGAACCAAAGCTGCTGCTGGTAAGTCTCACTCCGAGAAGGCCTGCTGCTATGACGTGTGTAAATAGGACTTTTGTCTTTTTTATGCGGAGGGATAAATGTGGGACAGAGGCGTGTTATTTATTTATCTTGTAATTAAAGCTGGCTTTTGTTGGGTCAGGTGAGTAAAGTAATTGGTGTGTGTGTGTGTGCCCTGCATGGCAACTGCTCTGTGTGTGCCAAGAGGTCAGAGGCAGATAAAAAAACTTGCGGATCAATGAGAACCACAACAAACTCAACACACTCAATGAGAACCACAACAAACTCAACACACTCAATGAGAACCACAACAAACTCAACACACTCAATGAGAACCACAACAAACTCAACACACTCAATGAGAACCACAACAAACTCAACACACTCAATGAGAACCACAACAAACTCAACACACTCAATGAGAACCACAACAAACTCAACGCACTCAATGAGAACCACAACAAACTCAACGCACTCAATGAGAACCACAACAAACTCAACACACTCAATGAGAACCACAACAAACTCAACACACTCAATGAGAACCACAACAAACTCAACACACTCAATGAGAACCACAACACACTCAATGAGAACCACAACAAACTCAACACACTCAATGAGAACCACAACAAACTCAACACACTCAATGAGAACCACAACAAACTCAACACATTCAATGAGAACCACAACAAACTCAACACACTCAATGAGAACCACAACAAACTCAACACACTCAATGAGAACCACAACAAACTCAACACTCAATGAGAACCACAACAAACTCAACACACTCAATGAGAACCACAACAAACTCAACACACTCGCCAGGAACGCCGTGTGTGCGGCCTTAAAAGTAAACAGATGCAACAGGTGACAATTTAGGCAATGAGCCTAAAATACTTTTACACTTTTATAGATCATTTATTCGTGTGCTTTGAAAAAGGACCATTGCCCGAAACGTCGCCTGTTATATATTTATTTTCCATGTTTTAAGACCACAGTTATTGGCGACCGCGACGAGGTTGTGATGTTTATGCGTGTGCACCGTTGCCAACGTAGCAGTAGCGGCATTGCCTCAATAATTCGTTTCGCGACAAGCGGAAAATGTCGTTTAACTCATTTGGTTTAGCAGCAGCCGCAGCCGCAGCCATTCGGTTGAGACGCCGTCCAGAAAGCGACAACCCCCGACCAAGTGAAGGGGGTGCCCTTCGCTCGGAGGAGCCTCTCCCTGCTCCACCTCGCGATGGCCACACGAGGGGGATCTCGTCGCGGCTTGTACCCTGTGCGTGGCAATAAAACACCGACGTGCTGAGATTCCTTGTGAAAGGTTTCTATCTGGTGTTTATTCATCTTAACACCTGTCTTACTGCCAGAAAGGGTACAACCTATAAGAATAGGTTGTACCCTGTCTGTGGCAATAAAACTCCGACGTGCTGAGATTCCTTGTAAAAGGTTTCTATCTGGTGTTTATTCATCTTAACACCTGTCTTACTGCCAGAAAGGGTACAACCTATAAGAGTAGGTACAACCTATAAGAATAGGTTGTACCCTGTATGGCAATAAAACACCGACGTGCTGAGATTCTTTGTAAAAGGTTTCTATCTGGTGTTTACTTATCTTAACACCTGTCTTACTGCCAGAAAGGGTACAACCTATAAGATTAGGTTGTACCCTGTGTGTGGCAATAAAACACCGACGTGCTGAGATTCCTTGTAAAAGGTTTCTATCTGGTGTTTACTCATCTTAACACCTGTCTTACTGCCAGAAAGGGTAACTCGTATTATTTGTATTTTTCGTCTGTGAGCTGTTCACGTGGTTTTTATTTTTTCATGCTTTCCATTCCTCTTGAGAAAACCCGTACGAGCGCAAATATTACACCGACGATCCTCATAGCAAATGCGGTTATCTTAACAAACACGAGCTTAGAAAAAAAACGTGGCTTTAAGTTCACATTGAAAGCGAAATATAGCGCGGAGTAGTCGCGTCCCTGTCTCGCCGCCCGCATCGATTCTGCAGCAAACCCGGCCGTGTGACCCGCTCGGCTGGTCACGGAGACGGCAAAGCAGCAGCCTCGGACTCCTTATGAAAGAAAGTTACCTTTTAAAAAGACGCGCGCGCACACACACACGTGCACACACGAGTGATTGCAATTCATGGGCACATTGGGCAGCTGTGAAACAACAAACACAGATCCTACAAAGTGCAGTGACGTCTGCCGACCCCTGCCCAGCCCGGAATGTTACTCATTAAGCGATACGTGGCCCGTGATTGCCTACAGCGGGTTTATTGTGTCCTGCGGCAGAGAGAGAGAGAGAGGAGGTGAATTTGACATCAAACACACCCCCCACGACCACCATAATTTCACTCGATTGTAATAAACCGAACCTCGCGCTAAATGGTTGGACAATGTAAACAAGCCGCGCGTTCCCCAGACCCTGACCCCTGCCTGCCATTCGCTGCCATGCTCGGTATGAAAAGAACAACACCGCTCGCTTAGACGGCGGTCGAAGCGCGCAGTGGATGTCCGTGAGTGTGTGTGTACGTGTGTGTGTACGTGAGTGTGTGTGTACGTGTGTGTACGTGTGAGTGTACGTGAGTGTGTGTGTACGTGTGTGTACGTGAGTGTGTGTACGTACTGTGTTCAACTTCCTTCGCACCGCACGTGACCCACCGTGCTAATCGGTGGGTCACGTGCGGCGCATGCACGCCAAGTTGTGTGGCGATGGCCGCTGCATCGGGAACGGTGCACAAACAGCTGACGACCACAACAGAAACACACTCGGAACATTTCGTCGATAACACTGCGGCTGTAAAGGGCATATTACTTAATGTAATAGGTGACGTTTCAGGCAATGGCCCTTCTTGATAGCACACAAATGAGGCCAGATAGATTAAGCGAATCGTTTTGGTCGATGATTCTGTTATTCCATGGGGCCCTGGTAATAAAAAAAAATTAGGCGATGAGTTCCCACGTTTTTGTCTTGAGAATGCCGAGTGTGGTGCCCCCCTTCGCTTCTAGCCACAACATTTGACATTTTTACGCCGCGTCTTTGATCTGCGTCACAAACCCTTCGCAGCACGGGACAGCTGACACGATGCCGACCCTTCTGACACGATGCCGACCCTTCTGACACGATGCCCCGCCGTCTGACACGAAGCCCTCCCCGAGTGAAAAGCACCCAAAGCCGCCACTGCGATCGCCCGTGAGTGTCCGAGTTGACACTTTACAAATGGTTACAGAAGACTTTTGTTTGTTCGTTAATATCACTGTGGATCTAGGTGATGGGCAGAGAGAGGCCACTCTGCTCACACGTGTCTTCCCCTTGTAGTTCGACCACAAACAAGGCCTCCCAGATGTCCCTTTGATGTGCATGCGGAGTGCTAATTCCCAAGGGCTGCGCAAACAGCCTCCCGGCTCTCTGCGGTAAACAGCATGTCCCTGTGCCAACACCTAAACACACTCGCACACACAGCGTGCTCATTCCGGCACCCCCGGCACAGCCGTGCACTTCCAGCCCAGCTGTTCCCACGAGGGCGAACGCAACAGCCGCGGGCCGACGTGGGCACACACACGTGTACATGTATACAGCTGTAGCTACCAGCTATCGCCAAACAGGGAACAGAGGCCCTCTTGTCGTTGGCAAATATTGAGCTGGTCCTGGGCACTTTCAGATCCCCGTCAGGTCAGTTGGAATAGGGGGAGGTGTGTGTGTGGGTGATGTAGTGGTTACCGCGCTGTGTTGCAAACCAGGCCACCCGAGTTCGATTCCCGCTCACGGTCAACACCAGTGACGACGATGTGATCCGATCCTCCGTCTCCCTGAGATTGGCTTACGGCTCCACTGAGCACCTGGTGCAGTGTGTAAAACATCGCCACTGGGGAGACAAAGGCGGCCGGACGTGGTGCTGGCCACCCCACCCCCTCGTGTACCGTGCCGGCCTTCATAGGTGCTCGCTAACAGCACTTGCCCCTACTGTCTGTTACAGGCTACACGGGGGTCTCAGTCTTTGCGGGAGGCGCTCGTATAGTCGTTAGAGCACCACGCTCATGAACAGTCGGTGACGTTTACCTAAACCAGTTCCGGGCCTCCCTTAGGTTGACTCAGCCTCAGATGAGTATCTGGCGCAGTGTGTAAAAATCTTCACTGTGGAGACAAAGGCGGCCGGGCGTGGTGCTGGCCACCCACCCCATCGCGTGCCGTGTTGGCCTTCATGGGGTGCTTCTGCTGAGGGCACTTGCCCCCAACATTGTCTAAAGGCTATCTATCGGGGGAACCTTTGTTTTGTGTGTTCTGCGTGTGCGTGTGTGTGTGCTGTCGCATGCCTATCAGGGTGGGGTGCTGGGTGGTGCCCGCTGGGAGATCTGCTACTTGTTAAAGCTGTCAGGGTATGGATACTCAACCCCCCAGAGGGATAGATGGCTACGACGTGGAGAAAAGCATTTTCCTGTATCCCCTTTCGTTCCTTTTTCTCACCGCGCCGAGCCTTGGTACGCGCTAGCAGCTGTTTACATCCCTGTACCCAGCCCCCTTCTACATTCGAGTGTAGACCGTGCGTACGCAAGACGTGTGGCCAGTGAGTCTGTGGGCCTGACGGTGGGGTGGCATTGAGAGATGTTGATGAAACTGTGATTTTTTTGGCCACGTAATTCCTTTGAAGTGTGGTGTACTTGCGGCATTGCTGCCGCAAGGCTTTAAATCCCCCCCCACCACCACCTCCCGTAAATCCCAAAGTGTCTGGATGCACATTCACCTCGCTTAGCACACATCACTTGTCACGGGAATATTGCTTTCCCTTCAAGTGAGCCTTTAACGGTGGAAACATGTGGCAGGCATTGTGGGAGCCAGCTCTTCTGAGTGTGGATTTTTAACATTGAGATTTTTGTAGATTTTAAGTTGTTTTATATACAGGGTGGCTCAAAAGTCAGGACGCATTGGGGTGATTCTGTTTATTTTAACATTTTAAAATTGACTTACTTTCACATTAATGCATGCATGTATTCTCTGTTTAAGTGGATTCAGAACGCTTTAAAGATTCATCTGAAACGGAAGAAGAAGAATCATAGATATAAATACAGTGATAAAAGGATCAAATATGAAGTTAAAGAACAAACACTGAAAATGCTTTCATTCCATTGTTAAAATAAATGAAATAGCCCTAAGGTGTCATGACATTAGGGCCACCCTGTGTATAAGGTCTATGGAACTACAAACAAATGTGGCCTCTGATTATCACGGTTGGCTACGTGCGTATGGCGCAAAATAAGTTCAACATCCATCAAT